AAAAATCAAAACTTGGAAATAGGCAAAAGGATGGCTCTGTCTTTCCACGTTCTCATTAGGGGTAACTGCCTTTGCTTTGACTTACTATTTTCTATTGATTAGAATCTACCACAGCCATGTGAGGGTCCCTGGTATTATAACACACAGAACACTGACAGCAATGCCCATGAGTCTTGTCTGGTGTTGACACAAAGGAACAACGCCCCGTAGACTTGGAAAGGACTGCAGCCCGAGCATCACGGTGTCCTTGTATGACTGAAAATAACCTTCTTCCGAGGCTTCTGTGACTTCTTTCTGCACTCTGTCCCCATGCTGCTGCAGCCTCACTGTCCTGCTGGCTGTCGCACTGCATTAGAGAAATACATCTTTGACATTTGCTCTGTATGTGTTTGTGTGAAAGTCATGTTTTTAACTTTTTAAAAATGATACTTCGACAGAAATTTGGCAAATATATATCAAAGTTCTCAAGTGAATACCTCTTTTCTACAACAGTAATGTCACTTCTAGGAATTTTCCCTCTGAATAGAATTAGATAGAAGTGGAGAGACATCAGCAAGGAAGTTTAGGTGGCTTTGTCTTATGATGATAGTCAAAAAAAAAAAAAAAAAAAAGGCACTGGTTCTCAACCTAGGTTAATTTTGTCCTCCAGGGGACATTTGGCAATGTCTGGTGACAGTGTTGATTGTCACAGCTAGGGGAAGGGATGTTTCTGGCATCCAGTAGGCAGAGACCAGAATGTGAAGCCACATCCTGCAGTGGCCAGGACAGTGTCCCCGAAAAGGGTGGGCTGACCCAAACTGCCCGTGGTACCAAGGCTGAGAAACCCTCACCTAATATACCACCCTAGGGATTAGGAGGGATAAATTAAAGTGGAATGTTTTGCAACCATTTTAATTATGATTTTTTTAAAAAAAACTATGATATTGTCAGTGTGTATTTATGTTTAAGACTTATTGTTAAGTAAAAACATTATAAAATTATATTTGCGGTGTTCATATGATCAGAAAAAATATATTAATTAAAATTTCAGATGTAAAGAATATTACATCTTTCATGTTTTCCAGAGAATGAATACATTTTTGTATGTATGTATATATACAGAGAGAGGGAGAAAGAGAAAGTAGCATATAAATAAAAATACATACATTTTATTACCTATTACAGTATTTATTCTTCTACACACTTCCCAGTTCACGTATGTACAGGAGCTTTCTTACATCCTGCATGGATGCCTGAGGTTTCACCACTAAGGAGTCTGGTCTCTAAGTGAAGAGGTCGTTAAAGCTGTTTGTGTAAAGCCTGTGTCTTGGAGACAGGGCGTTAAATCTTTATCAGTTAGATGCATCAGGTATGAAATGGCCAATTGGATTGGCTGGCGTGCCTGTCACTCAGCACCGCCCTGGGACCAGACAGCTTTGGTGACCCAGCTGGAGAGGTGCTCCAGAGCTGGGCTGACCCTGAGAAGGCTCCACCTCAGAGCAGCACAGGGAGGACGTGAGGCCCCGCGCTTTCCCGAGGGCCAGGCCTCATGTCAAATTGCAGAAACAGACTGAGCACAGAGCCATGGAGAGCCGAGGAGTGGGCAGGCTTGTCCATTCCAGCTTCCACCTCTGCCTCTGATCCTCATCTGTGGAATCAGGGCGGTGAACCAGAAGCCTCTGGAGTTTCTCAGTGCTCTGATCCCGTGAATTCCTCCTCTGTCCCCACGATTTCGCAATGAAGGGATGCTTCCCATTCTCACCAAGTGCCTGTTGAAACTGTTTGCTCAGCCTGACAACTCTCTTCTGTTACTTTCAAATGATCACGGGCTCCCAGGAGGAAAGTTGAGGTAAACCTCTCTTCAAGTGCTGCGTCCTAAAATTCCCAAAGAACTGTCCACCTTTGAAGGGCTCTCAGGACCTGGGACGTGTGACCACGGACATCCGGGGATCAGTCAGCGCTGCGTCCTGGGGAGAAGGAGGCGCCGGGTTGCTGGCTCCAGGCTGCATCCCCTCCTCTGGGTCTGTGCTGGTCCTGCACTTCATAGCATGATTTTCCCCTTATTCCTTAAGGCTGAACAAGCCTTCTACTGCTCTCCGTCACTTTATCCTGGGAGTCGGATGTTTGCCTGGTTTATTAGTGCATGTGAATGCCTACCCCAAATTGCTATGTGATTTTCAAAATGCTGAATTCTGTAGATTCTTTGAGATCAGTGACTTTCACTCTCTCAATCCATTTCTATGGGGCTGAACTGGGAAGTATGATGGGGAGAGAAAAGAACACCTCTGTAAACAGCAACAAAACAAGACAAGAAAAACCTCCACAGTGTCTTGAACTTCACACACTTGTGCAAGGTTGGGGCCAGTGTTCTCAACCCTGGCACTATTGACATGTCAGGCAGGACAATTTTTTGTGTTCGGAGGCCACAGTGTATTTGTTTCAAAGTGTATTTTCACCAATTGTAGCACCAGCCTCACTCTATTTCTCCCATCTTCCAAGACAATTAATTAAGACATTCAATCACAGAATTACACCCATTTCTGGACAGCACTCCATCTGACCATGGCCTGTGTATTAGTCAGGGCTCTCTAAAGGGACAGAACTCATAAGATGGATGTATACATGAAGGGGAATTTATTAGGAGAATTGGCTCACATGATCAGTATTGTAGGGTATTTAGCAATGTCCCTAGGCTATACCTACTAGATACCAGTAGCACTGCCCTTAACCCCCATTACAGGGTGAAAAGTCAAAAATTAAAAACTGTCATATCTAGGGCAGCACAGGGATCCATGTACCCTGTTGAGCAATGGCCTTCACTGTGAAGGCGCAGAAGGAGCCCAGAGCTCGTCTCTCGTCTGCGGAGATGGATGCCTCCTCTTGGTGGCCTGCAAGGATGTGGCTGGTCCCAGACCATATGTCTGAAGAGTCATCAGTCCCGTTGAGCAGTAGCCCATAGCTGGGAAGGTTTATAAAAACTGGTCCAGTACATACATGCAAGCGTTACAAGTGATCATCTTTGTGGTAGAAATTGTGATTATTAGGAATGATAATATGTTCTTTTTTGTATTCATTCATGCAACCTAAATTGTCTGTTTATTCGTTTAGTAATTTTTTAAAAGCTCAAGAAATGGAAGAAATGAGAGAGATGTTTCGTATGCTCTTAGGTGATGTGGCAGACACACCTAAGGTCACCCGTCCCCAGTGATCTATGTTTTGGATAATTCACTCCCCTGAGCATAAAGGGGCTGGTGATGTAATTCTAGATAATAGAATACAGCAAATGTGATGGTTACATCTGATGTGAGATTCTGCCTTAGCAGGTGGGGGCAAGAGAGACTCTCTTGCTGACTTGTGTAAGAAGGCTGCTGTCCTGTAGGAAGGACTGTGAGAGGCCACGTGGCAGGATTCTTGGGAGCCCCTGGATGCTGAGAGTGGTCCCCAGCTGATGTGGTTTGGCTGTGTCTCCATCCAAATCTCATCTTGAATTGTAGCTCCCATATTTCCCACGTGTTGTGGGAGGGACTCAGTGGGAGATAATTGAATCATGGGGGTGGTTCCCCCATACTGTTCTCGTGGTAGTAAGTGTCACAAGATCTGATGGTTTTATAAGGGGAAAGCCCATTTGCTTGGCTCTCATTCTCTCTTGCCTGCTGCCATGTAAGACATGCCTTTTACCTTCCACCATGATGATGAGGCCTCCCCAGCCATGTGGAACTGGGTTCCTTAACTCCATTAAACCTCTTTTTTTTCTTATAAATTACCCCATCTCAGGTATGTCTTTATCAGTAGTGTGAAAATGAATGAATACACCAGCTGACCACCCCTCAAAAAAGGATCTTCAGTCCTACAACCACCAACAACCTGAGAGAGCCTTTGACAGGACTACAGCCCTGACTGACCTGATTGTAGCCTGCTGAGACCCAGAGCAGAGGCCACAGTTGGGCTCTGCTTGAACTTGTGACCTACTGAGAGCGGAGGTAACTGATGTGTGATATTTCAAGTCACTAGGCTGTGGTCATTTGTTATGCAGCCACAGGTAACAAACACAGACAGCTTCCCTCTCCTTCGAGAACACATCAGCCAAATGCCTTTCATAAATATTGCAGCTACCTCTAGGCTAAGAGAATGTGAACCCTTGAGTATTCAGTACCTGCCAGATCAGAACTTATAGGACATTGAGGGGGACATGCAGCCTGAAAGACCTGAGGCTGATCTGGTACTTGCAGCTCTGCCTTGATGGACTCCTAGGGACACAAGCAATGCCAAAGAGCACCACCCCCAGACAGGGACACCCTGTGATGGTGGGAGCGGGGGGCAAGGCAAATCAATACCTCTCTGTAATCTGGTCTGGTCACAAATGAAAACAAGAACGTGGTCAATACCACAAATATGCCTAGGCATCCCCCACCCCTGGAGAATGTGAGCAGCTGCTGCTTTTTCACCAATTGCAGCACCAGCCTCACTCCATTTCTCCCACCTTCCAGGACAATTAATTAAGACATTCAATCACAGAATTCCTCCCATCTCCAGACAGCACTCCATCTGACCATGGCCTGTGTATTAGTCAGAGTTCTCTAAAGGGACAGAACTAATAGGACAGATGTATATATGAAGGGGAGTTTATTAGGAGAGCTGGCTCACATGATCACAAGGGGAAGTCTCACAATAGGCCGACTGCAAGCTGAGGAGCCAAGAAGCCAGTCTGAGTCCCAAACTTCAAAGGTAGAGAGGCTGACAGTGCAGCCTTCAGTCTGTGGCTAAAGGCCTGGGAGCCCCTGGCAAACCACTGGTGTAAATCCAAGAGTCCAAAAGCTGAAAAGGACCTGGAGTCTGATGTTCAAGGGCAGGAAGCATCCAGCATGGGAGAAAGATGAAGGCTGGAAGACTCAGCAAGTCTGCTCATTCCAACTTCTTCTGCCTGCTTTATTTTAGCTGCTGTGGCGGCTGATTAGATGGTGCCCACCCAGTTTAAGGGTGAGTCTGCCTCTGCCAGTCCACTGACTCAAATGTTAATCTCCTTTGGCAACACTCTTACAGGCACACCCAGGAACAATCCTTTGCATCCTTCAATCCAACCAAGTTGACACTCAATAGTATCCATCACAACCTGTTTCCTTGACTCTCCCCAAGATCACCTCATATAAGGCAAACCCTCCAAGTCTTTCCCAAGGCCCTCTCACTGCTGCTGCTGAGCTGCTGCTGGCTCCCGGTGGTGCACAGCCTTCCTTGCTGTGATCAGCCAGTCGATGGCCTCAACTTTGCTGGGCTACAGGTGTGTTTCTGGTGGCCTCTGGATGACATCACTGACAAGATTATGACCAAGCTAATTTTGATGCATCCCAGTTTCAGCATCAAATTTGGGAAAGCATTCATTTAAAAATAACCCATACCAAGGTTTTCACAAAATACAATCAAAATCCAGGGCGTATTAGTAGGTAGCTCATACGTGCACCTGTTCCGTGCGTGCTGTTGTCACTGATGTCTGGAATGAAGTAATGAATTAGAAAGTCTTCAAACACCAAAGAATGATTTCATGAACTATATTTACGTAGCGTATATACCACATATAACGTAATTACTATGTACTAAAAGATAAGAAATTATAATTATGCATTTTAGTAAGATTTGGTCAAAAGAGGAGGAGGGATGAGGATTTTATCATGATTCTCAATTTCCCAAGCATTTCTGTAAATTAGAAGCTTACTGTACTAACTAGAAATGGTGGATGGGTTTTTAGCTTCAATTCCACCCATCATGTCCCATCTAAATGCTCTGAGGTGGTAACAACAAACTGTGTCCTAGATCTTCTTCAAGCTGAAGTGTTTTGGGGTGATCGCATATTCCAATAATGCCCCCTGGAGGCCAGCCTGGCCAGGGCCAGTGGACACTTGTCCCCACAGAAGCAGGTCTGTGTCACTGCTCAGCTGTCAAGGTTCGCTTTTCCACCCTGATCCAGCTGCTAAACTGTCCCTATCACGTGTCCCTCACCCACTACCAGGCGGTGACTCCTAGCTCATGCAATTTCCGGTGCTCACTTCTTGCTGTCCCCCATCTGGCCCTATCATCAGTTTGTGTCCATGTTGCATTCAGTGCATGAGACACTGAGAGCGGTCTCCAGCCGACAGCCACCCACGACTCATTGACAGAAGAGAAAGGGGAGAAGGGAAGAAATCTGTTACACCTGTGAGACAGAAGCTGCCCCTTTACACAGGTGCATGGCGGGGAAGTGGGGAAGGCAGAGGCATCCCAGCTGTACTGCAAAAGGACCACATTTTGAAAGTTGGTTTCAAGGCCAGGTGTGGTGGCTTACACCTGTAATCCCAGCACTTTGGGAGGCTGAGATGGGTGGATCACAAGGTCAGGAGTTCAAGGCCAGCCTGGCCAACATGGCAAAACCCCGTCTCTACTAAAAATGCACAAATTAGCCGGGCGTGGTGGTGGGCGCCTGTAATCCCAGCGACTCAGGAGGCTGAGGCAGGAGAATCGCTTGAACTTGGGAGGTGGAGGTTGCAGTGAGCTGAGATCATGCCATTGCACTCCAGCCTAGGTGACAAGAGCAAGATTCCGTCTAAATAAATAAATAAAAATAAAATGAAAGATGGTTTCAAACCACGTGTTCAGTCAGATGTAGAAAATATATAACAGCAAAATGAGCTTTGGTATAGGCTTGATTGAGTATATAGCCTGAAAATAGAGGGAATCAGTGAATAAAGTCCCCTATAATAGCAAATACAGCTTCTATTGATAAGACGTAATGGAAGTGGGCTACAACATAATATGTATCATGTGATTACAATATCCAATGATGAGTTGGCTAGTACAATGCTAGTCAAGCCTCCTACTGTAAAAAGGAAAATAAATCCCAAGGCTCAGAGCATTGCAGGGGATCATTTGGTATTGCCGCTGTGAAGCGTAGCCAGTCAGCCAAAACTTTGACGCCAGTGGGAATAGCAATAATTATAGTAGCAGAGGTGAAGTAGGCTCATGTATATACATCTATGCCTACTGTAAATATATGGTGAGCCCATAAGATAAATCCTAAGAAACCAATTGATATTATAGCTCACACCATGCCCATATATCCACATGGTTATTTTTTTCCAGAATAATATGTTACAACATGGGAAATTATCTTGAAGCCTGGTAGGATGAGGATGTAGACTTCAGGGTGACCAAAGAATCAGAGTAAGTGTTGATATAACATAGGATCACCTCCGTCTGTTGTTGGAAGTATGTAAGAGTCAAGGCTTAATTCTTCATAATCTGTATATTCGTAGCTTCAATACCATTGATGTCCGATTGTTTTAATGGTGAGAGAAGGGTTCTTGATTTCATCTGTTATATATAAGATGTGTAGAGATGGGAGGGCGATTAAGACTAAGATGATGGCAGGGAAGATAGTTCAGATGGTTTCTACTTCTTGGGCATCTATGGTGTTAGTAGTCAGTTTTGTTGTGAATATTAGAGAAATAATGTATAGAAGTAAGGAACTAACTAGAAAAATAATTATAAGGGTGTGGTCATGGAAGGTAGTTCTATAATAGGGGATGTGGCATCTTGAAGGCCTAATTGAGCTGAGTGAGCCAGTAAGATATACAGGGCTTAACCTATAACTTAACTTTGACAAAGTTATGAAATAATTTTACTAATATCAAAAAAGTCATAGAGGTTATGGGATTGGCTTGAAACCAGTCTTTGGGGGTTCGATTCCTTCCTTTTTCATTTAGGTTTCCATGTAGGTTGGTTCTTCGAATGTGTGATAGGGTGGGAGACAGCCATACGGTCATTCTAAGTTTGTAGATGGTTGTTCAATTATTAGAACCTTTCATTTTGAAGTGAAGACTTCTCAGATCATGAAAATTATTAGAATTACTGCTGTCAGGGAAATAAATGAGCCTACAGATGAGATAATATTTCATGTGGTGTACGTGTCGGGATAATCGGAGTAGCGTCGAGGCATGCCAGAAAGGCCGAGGAAATGTTGTGGGAAAAAAGTTAAATTGAGGCCTATAAATACAATAGCAAAATGAGCTTTAGCATAGGCTTGGTTGAGTATTTAGCCTGAAAATAGAGGGAATCAGTGAATAAAGCCCCCTATAATAGCAAATACGGCTCCTATTGCTAAGACTTAATGGAAGTGGGCTACAACATAATATGTATCATAATAGGGATTACAGTCAGTCATGGGAAGCTTCTCTTATTGTGCAAAGGAGAAACAGATTTCCTTACAACACCATGTGAAGGCAGAATTCTGGAAACCCGCCTTGGGGACTATCTTTCCTTAATTAGACATCCTAAGAAACAAGGGCAAAGCACTGTAGCCTGGCACAATTTGGATCTTCAGGAAATCTATCAGAATTTTCCAAAAATTGAGAAAAGATATATAGGATCAAAATGAGATTTTGATGAAATGCCTCACTAAGAAAGAGCAGGAAGAGAACTTTCCTGAAATAAAGTAGAAAATATTGACAGAAAAAAAAATACTGGAAGAAAAGCCCATGTTTGTATGCATGCTCAGACATTATTTGTAACTATTAACACATTTGAGACACAACCGATGAACGAGGTATTACACAGATGAGGACAGTAAGAAAGAAAATTCCAGCGAAACCACTGAGACTGACCCAGCATAACCTTACAAATAGCCACTGTCCACATGCTGATGGCCAATCAAGACTCAGATCCCATCTACCTAACTTGCTGTGAGCCTCACTAATGTGTGGGGCACAGGTGCATATCGCCCTCAAAGCTGGCTTAGAACAGCCACTCTGCATTCAGCATGTGGACATCCTTAGGCACATCTTAAAAATCTGAAAATACAAATTAGGCCGTATTTAAGATGGACTTGCTGACTGTCTATAAGATACGTAACGGGAACTCGTGGTGAACTGTTTTGGAAATTCAATCTGGCCAGGCACGGTTGCTCATGCCTGCAATCCCGACACTCTGGGAGACTGAGGCAGGAGGATGGCTTGAGGCCAGGAGTTCAAGGCCAGCCTGGGCAACATGGCAAGACCTTGTCTCTACAAAAAACAAAAACAAAAACAAAAAGTTAGCTGGGTGTGGTGGTATGCACCTGTAGTCTCAGCTAATCAGGAAGCTGAGGTGGGAGGATCTCCTGAGACCAGGAGGTCAAGGGTGCAGTGAGCCATGATTGCTCATTTGCACTTCAGCCTGGGTGACAGAGTAAGACTTTGTCTAAAAATAATGATAATAAATAAATAAATAAGAAAAGAAAATTCTCTCTGGCTTCCCCAAGTTTATGTATTTCATTTTTTTATGGTGGGTTTTCATGGGGCCATCAGAAGAACAATGAATATAAAAACGCGTGAGCTCCCTCTTAGGCATTTTGGAACTTATGATGGTTTCATGGGGCCATCAGAAGAACAATGAATATAAAAACGCGTGAGCTCCCTCTTAGGCATTTTGGAACTTATGATGGTTAACTTCATGTGTCAACTTGGCTGGGCTATGGTGCCCAGTTGTTTGATCAAACACTAGTCTAAATGCTGCTGTGAAGCTATTTTAAAAATGTGATCATAAATTAATGTGGGTGGATCATCTAATTAGTTGAAGGCCTCAAAAGCCAAGACTGACATGTTCCAAAGAGGAAGCAATTCTGCCTCAAGACTGCAGCACAGAAACCCTGCCAAGGTGCCAACCTGCTGCCCTGTGGAACCCGGACTCAAGGCTGCAAGATCAACCCTTACCTGAATTTCTAGACTTCTCACCTGCCCTGCAAATTTAGGACTCACTAGCCCCTCCGATCATATGAACAAATTCCAATCAATAAATAAGTAAATGAACAAACAAACAAATCTATCTGTCTCTGTATCCACCTATCTGTCTCCAATTCGCTCTGTTTTTCTGGAGAACCCTGAATAACACAGGGCCTGCAGGTTGCTTCCTGTCTAAGGGTAGAGTATCTGAGTGCCTATACTGTTCCACTGTCTCTGCTAAGTGTTCATAGATGACTTTCCCTTCCTCACCTCCTTTGGCCCCTTCCACTCAGTACAAACCCAGGCTATTTCTTCCAGCTTTGGGTTGCTTATCAAGGGAAAAATGAATTATGTAAGACTAAGACAAAATGAGGAAGATAATTCTACTGCCATTAACACTACATAGTTTATTTCAAAGCCAAACAGAAATAACTTTGGGGCTTTGTACTGTTTAGAATCACCTCTTCGATTGCTTTCTTTCAATAATAAGGCATTTTAAGGGATGAGTATCTGTCATGGTAGAGAAAGCTGTGCATCATCCATTGACCTGACTGTTAGCAAATACTCATGGAAGCCCTGTGGGGTACTCGGCACTGTGCCAACCACTGCCTCCCAGATTTGGGACAGACAGACACCCTGCCCATATGCAGCCTCACAGACATAATACTCAGTAATATAATATAATATAATATATAATATATAAGACCTATAATAACTATTCTCAGTATTTATTGTCTGCTTATTATATCTTGGATACTGATAT